CCCTGTCTCCCCCCAGTCCCCCGCTGCTCACAATGTCTGCACCACCGTCGTCATCATCTTCTTCCTCTCTTGCAAACTGAAGCTCGTCTACCTCTCTGGCAACGATTTCTCCACCGGTAGCCTTTACCCATTCCGTTCGCCGCCTCTACATCTCAACATCTCCGACAGCAACCTCCACGGCGATCCCCATAATCTCTCGCGACCATCGCACCAACCAAATCACCGGTCCTGAAACATTATCACCTGCAAGATCCTATACAACCAAAATCACTAGAAACATCCTCAAAACCCTCGATTTACTCCCAAAACTCCAAGAATTGAACATTTTGAACAACGAATAAATCAATATCGAACCAACGGTTGTTGATCCTCTATTGGTTAGGGTTTTCTGAATTAGGGGAAAATTGGAGTGTTTGTTATATAGTTCATCCAACAATGAGTTTGATTATCGGCAACCCATAGGAGTTCTCCGGCAACGGTGTTTCGACAATTGATGGTGACGGGGGAGTGGAAACGTCCGATTGAGATCTTTGGGATGGGGGGCTCCTTTCGAAAGTTTGATAAGTCCCCAGGACTTATTTATGAATTTTAATTTATTACACTTTAAGTCTTGAGTAAATCTGTAATTTAATAAAACTCTGATAATTGCACAATAATGTTAAAAAAAATGAACAATATCGCTTGTGTTATGCACATTAAAAATGCCATCAGATTCTTAATGATTTGTTGTCCAATCTCCACACCCCTAAGTTTTTTAATACTATAAGATGTCCTGGAGTGCCGAACCATGAGTGCAATCTTGAGATAGGAACTCCAGCCATGTTGTTGCGGAACTTTGATCATTTTAGGGGGTTATAGAATGGTACGAGATTGGTTGTGACAAAACTCTCAACTCATATGCTTGAATGTAAAGTATTGACCGGATTTAATGTAGGAGAAATGTATTGATACCCCAGATGACTAACACTTTTTGACGTTAGAGTACTGATGACAACTGACCTGATTTGTTGGGATTAAGATGAAGATTAATGAGGACTATACAAGATTATCGCTCAAAGCAGCTCATATGCCTAACTTAACTCAACTCGGTACAAGCTGGACGTCAAACCTGTTAGAGTAGAACACCCAGCGTTCCAATCAGATTAGATACATTCTACTTGTAGATACAATTTATTGGAATTTATATTAAATAAAAGGCATTACTTTATCTTATGTATGTGAATATATTTGGACATATGATAAAGTCCCTAGATCATTAAAAGCTATAAGGTATGATTACGCATTGGATGGTGATATGGTCGTAAGTAGCGGTTCATGAAGGACCGGGTGCAATCCGGGTTTTAGTCGCACCTAGCTGGGTGGTTCAACGAAGTAGGCGCAACCCATGGTACCTCTGGAGTGTAAGGGTGGTAGGCGGAGCCTAGCTTTACTTGAGCCAGGCAGGGCACCTAGGGGACCAGAACTCGGAGGTGGTCACTTGCCCAAGTCACGAAGAGGTTCACAACCTCAAGGACTCTTAGGATTTTGACCTAATCTAGAGGAAGACTTATAGTATGACAAGAACTCTTCAGCTTCTACACAACCTCACCTATAAAAGGGCACAGGTTCATTCTTTCTAGACAACACACATACACTCGTTATATTGTTACTCTGCCGTTTTCTCTCTCGGACTACCATTGACTTGAGCGTCGAAGTGTTCGCGCTGCGACCAACCTCGGCATGTTTTGTAGGTACCGATGATCAGGGAGACGCAACCCGGTTCGGAGAAGAGCGGTTCAACGGTTCAAGTATTTGTGGTATAACAAATTGGTGCCGTCTGTGGGGATAACTCAGTCTTCTACCAGAGTATCATAGGCTGTTTTTTCTCACCAAAGAAGAAGGAGGGCAACAAGGATCATGGCAGGAGATAACTTGAAGAAAAACTTGACGAAGGATATGGATGAGGCGTGGACGAAGAGGGCTCTTGGAACTGGGCCGCCGCCCGGGTGGTCGCCGTCGCCTACTATCCCCAAGGAGACGTTGACCCCGCCACCGCCACTAGGAGCTCAAGGGCGTTTGGCGAACCCAGGAGAATCGGGTGGCTTGACGAACAAGGAGAATGAGCTCGGCGGTGCAACGAGTGGAGGAATTGGTCAGGTTGGCCAGGTCCCTGATGGGAACACGGGTCAGGTGACCCTGCTGAACAATCAACAAATGGTCTTGGCAGGAGAGACCACCCAACTGAACGATCAACAGATGGTCTTAGCAGGAGGAACTAATCCCCAGGCAACTCCTCGACGGCAAGAGGAGATCAAACGATACATATGACGAAGGCGGAACTGGACAGGATCATAGCAGACGCAATAGGGCGGGCTCAAGAGGTTGATCGACGAGCTAATGAATCGCTAAGGCAGCCCGTGCATCAGCAGTTGTCCTTGCACCGCACCAGACCCATCAGCGCGAAAGGGGGGATGAGGATGGCGATAGGTCGGCGACATCTCGACCCTTGGTGGTGCATTAGGAGGGGTTGACTTTAGAAAGACTAGCGGAACAAATGCGTGAGATGCAAGCCCGACTCCCAGGGAGAAGGGTGGGCAGGTCGCATGGTCATCCTTTTTCGGAAGAGGTGCGAGGTGGAGACTTGCCAAATAACTTCAGAGAGCTGAGCCTATCATATGATGGGTCGGAAGATCCTGCTAGACACCTGAGGTCGTTCGATAACATAACGGTCCTGCACCGATACAGCAATGCGGTTAGTTGTCGAGCTTTCTTAACTACCTTGAAGGGCTCAGCACAAGACTGGTTCCCCCAGTTGCCACCCGGTTCTATTGACAGCTTTGAGAGGTTTAGTTCTCTGTTCTTAAACCAGTTCGCGAGCGCTAGGAAGCATGAGAATACGTATCTCTCACTAATCAATATGCAGCAGAGGGAGGGAGAGAGTCTGGGATAGTACGTTTCAAGGTACACTAAGGAGTGTGTGGAGGTACCTTCTGCTACTGAGGAGATAAAAGCTGGGGGTCTCACGCGGGGGTTGAGACCCGGTAAATGCAGGGATTCACTGGCGAAGAGGCCTGCGAGGTCCTTTGAGGAGCTCCTCGAGAGGTGTAGCAAGTATGTGAATATGGAGGAGGCTGAAGCGGATTTCATTCGGAATGACAAAACAAAGGCTAAGCAGGTAGATGAGAAGCCTCGGCAAAGTGATCGCCGAACTGCTGCTAAGGTGTCCAAGGTTGAGGAGCGGTTCAGGGGTCCGAGGTACGAGCATTACAAACCACTTAATGCGCCACAGCAGGAGATCCTGGAGATCTTGGTCGTGGATGCTAGCTCGGCCTACAACATCATACTGGGACGACCTAGCTTGAATTCATTCCAGACAGCCATTTCCACTTATTGTATGAAAATTAAGTTCCCCATAGGGAATGAGGTCGGAGAGGTGACTGGAGACCAGCTGCAGTCTCGACGGTGTTACGAGGTCACATTGAAGACAGCTGAGGCGCAAAATAAGAGACGGAGGGATGATTTACCTGAGTGCTCTCACCAGGAGAAGAAACAAGAATTGGGGATGAGCTTCCAGGACGAGTTGATGGAAGTTGAATTGATAGAGGGGAACCCTGCAAAGACGACCAAGGTAGGTCGGCATTTGGCGGTCGACATTCAAGGCGCGCTGATTTCATTGTTGAGAGAATTCGTGGATATGTTTGCTTTTTCGGCCGACGACTTCACCG